TGTTACACTCAAAGGTCAACTTATTGTCAAGTATGGTGCCCAAATATTTATATGACACCACAACTTCAATTTCCTGCCCATTGATAACAGTAAACAGTAACACTGTAAATGGTTGAAGCGTTAACACTGTGGACGGTTGAAGTGTCAGTTACTGTCTGTCTGTGTCTTTCAGCAGTTCCAGTAACAGTCTGATTGCCATCGACAACAAAATCGAGCAAGCCATGGTAAGTTTGATATCTAATGTAATCTCTTTTTTTTGGGGGGTGGGGGGTGGGGGGGCATTTTCAGCCTTTTTTAATGGATAGAACAGACAAGTGTGAAAGGGGAGAGAGAGAGAGAGAGAGAGAGGGAGTGACATGCAGCAAAGGGCCACAGGCTGGAGTCGAACCCAGGCCGCTGCGGCAACAGCCTTGTACACGGGGCGCCTGCTCTACCACTAAGCCACCGATGCCCCGATATTTAATGTAATCTAACTGTGATTCTACTATAGTTTTACTGTGATTCTACTGTAGTTTTAATTTGATTCTACTGCAGTTTTATTGTGATTCTACCGTACGTTTTTCTTTTGATACTTTTATTGCAATAAATTCATGTTGCATTTTACAACTACATTCCATTCAATATTTACATGTTAATTGCAATTTCTTTTTTTTCTCCCCCCCCATACATAATATATATACACCCAGTGAAAACTGTTTTCATCTTTGTCCAGATACACGCATACATACATTCTTATCTTATCTGCACCTCTGTATGCTTATAATCATGAGCATAAAAATGTGCACATATGTATACACATTCAGATTTAATACAAAGATGAGAAGCAAAACCAAGGCACAACAAAAACAAAAAAACAAAAAAAGGGGGTGGGGTTGCTGTGTGTGTGTGTGTTCCTGTGTAAATGTGAATCTACTTCTCCACAAACCATTCACAATACAATGATCATGTCTGTCTTATTCATAAAATTTATTATTTAATTCATTTGATTCATTAATGGCCTCATAGCTCGTCCACTTAATCCATCGTCTTTTGTGCTCGGATTCTTCATTTCTAACTCTATAACTTACCCTCTCCATTTCACAAATCTCTCTTATAATTAACATCCATCTTTTAATTGATGGACTTCCAGATTTTAGCCACATCCTTGTGATCTGTTTCATAGCTGCAGTTCTCAGAATTCTATAGAGATACTGATCTCTTTCCTGTGACAGCTCAGGTGGAGATTTTCCTAGAATAATATGCATAGGATTAATTGCTTTTTGTATTTGAAATATACTCATGATAGTTGTTATCACTGAGTGCCAAAATATTTTTAATACAGGACAGAAAAAGAAAATACAGTGCATTTGTGAAAATATTGCATTAAGTAATCACTCTTAGGTCTTCAAGTGCAATTTCTTTTAGTACAGTCACAGCCAAAATACTAAATAAATCCTAAAAAAGCCATTAAAAACTTAAAATTGATTGGTTCCATAAAAATACATAAGAAATTTTGAGTATTGGGTCATTTTGGTACCAGTGATGAAGGTCGTTCTTTTTATTAAAAGACACAATTTTTGTTGCCCAGCTTCGTGTCTACATAAAGCCAGCACATTTGAAAGTTCTTCAGACACAAAAATGGCTAAAACAAGGAACCTAACGCAGGAAACACGCCTGAAGATAAAGATTCTCAGCCAGGAAGGGTACAGCTGCCGCCAGATAGCCAGGAAGTGCAGATGCAGTCCTTCAGCAGTTGGATACACTCTGCAGAAATACAGACGAACCAACAGCTTGGAAGACAAACCAAGATCTGGGCGTCCAAGGATTTCTTCAGCAAGAAATGACCGCATCCTGATCCGCATGTGCAGGCAAAACCACCGAATGACATCACAGGTGCTTCAGCAGCAGTGGTCAAACCAAACTGGTGTCCAGTGTTCCACCCGCACTGTACGTGGCCGACTTTTAGATCATGGCTTAAGGTCCTACAAGGCTATCAAGAAGCCCCTGATCAATGAGAGGCAGAGGTTAGCCCGGCGTCGTTGGGCCCAGGCACACAAGAACTGGACAGCCAGGAACTGGAAGAAGATTTTGTGGTCAGATGAGTCCAGTTTCCAGCTTTATCTTCCTCCTACTAATGTGAGGGTGCGCAGAAGGCCAGGCGAAGCATTATCTCCAGCATGTACAGTACCTACTGTCAAGCATGGTGGAGGCAGTATCATGGTTTGGGGATGCATGAGTGCTGCTGGTGTTGGTCATCTCACTGTCTGTGATGGCACATTGAACTCTACCAAGTATTGTACCATTCTCGAAACCCACATGCTCCCTTCTGCGCGTGCACTGTTCCGTCGAGGTAAAAACTGGATGTTTCAACAAGATAATGGCCCTTGCCACACATCCAAGGCCAGTAGAACTTGGCTGCAGGAGCACAGTATCCAGGTCTTAGAGTGGCCAGCTCAATCCCCGAACATGAGCCCCATTGAAAATCTGTGGTGGATTATCAAAAGGTCTGTTTCAAAGCATAAACCAAAGAATTTAGAAGAATTAAAAGCAGTAATTCAAGAAGAATGGGACAAGATTACCCCTCAACAGTGTGAAAGGCTCGTGGGGAACATGCCAGCCAGGATTAGAGCTCTACTACGTGCCAATGGCAGGACTACTAAATATTAATTTGATGATGTGATGGGTTATTTATTTTTTGTTCAGTTTTGAACACATTCTCTGTTATTTGTTGACTTTGATACCGACAATGTTGAGAACTGACATATTGAAGCTGTCAAGAATTTAGTTTTGTTAGTTTTTCTTGTAACAAAAAATATAATTTGTATTTGTTTGTATCTGTCCAATGCAGCCACACCTTTTGAAACACAAAAAAGATTTTTCCACAAATATTTCATGATAATATTTGAGATTGTGTAAAATTTTAAGGGTGTCCGAAAACTTTTTTCCACCACTGTATGTGAGTGGTTTGCCTTTGTCTCCCCGCACTTTCTCCAACAATTCGACGTCACAGATGTGTTAATTTTGGAATGTACCTCTGGTGTAATAAAAAATCTTGAATATAGTTTCCATGAAAATTCTTTCCAGTACTTAGAGTTTGTTGTTTTGTGAATCTCTGCACATTTGCTTCCATTCTTCTTTGTTAACCTGCTGTCCTAGTTCAGACATCCATTTTTGTTGAGTATTAGTTTCAGCATCCGTACTATTCTCCAGAATTTTGTATATTTTTGACAGCGAGTTTTTTATTTTCTTATTATGACTTTTGCTTAGAAAGGTAATTAAAGGGGGCATTTCTTTTGCACTTTGATTTTTTAAACATTTTGTAAGGTATGTCCTTGTTTGCAAATATTTATAAAAATTACTTTGTGCCAGATTGTACTTATAAACTAATGACTGAAATGAGCTTATGGTATTGTTGGTCATCATTTGTAAATATGTTTTTAATCCTCTTGATGCCCATACTTTCAAAATGTTATCTGTTTTGTTTGGCTCAAACTGGGGATCCCATGCCATTTCCCGGAAGTATACTAAGTCATCGTTTATTTTATGAGTTTTGCGTATCTTTTTCCAACTTTTTAGTGTGTTATCAACCCATCTGTTTAGTCCTTTGATTTGTGAGTAATCCTTTTTGTCTGTATAAGGTAATGATTTTATAGATATTGGTATGGCCTCTTCCTCAATCAGTATCCACTTTGCTTCAACTCGGTCATTCGACCATCTTAAAACTGTATTTATTTGTGTTGAATTAAAGTAGCTCTGCAGGTTAGGGACAGCTAAACCACCACACTCTTTTGCTTTAGTTAATTTATTAAATTTTATTCTTTTCTTTTTATTGTTCCATATAAATTTACTTAGTAGTTCATTCCACCTTTTAAAAGATATGGTAGGAACTGGTACTGGTAATGTCTGGAACAGGAAGAGAAACTGTGGGAGAATCATCATTTTAATTGTGTCCACTTGTTGAAGAATAGAGTCTGGTACATTTTCCACCTATTTAAATCAGATTTAATTTTTTCCTCTAAAGGCACATAATTGACTTCATATAATTTATTCAGATCCTTGTGAATGAAAATTCCCAAATACTTAATTTTTTTTCTGATTCCATTTTAACTTAAAGTTGTTCTTAGCTATCTGTGTTAACTCAGTACCAATAGTTATAGACTCACATTTAGTTTCATATATTCTGTATCCAGAAAAATCACTGTATTCATTGATTAATTCCTTTAAAGCTGGTAGTGAAGTTCCAGGTGATGTTATATACATAATAATATCATCAGCAGCGTACATTGCCAACTTATGGACCTCCTGTCCTATTGTTACTCTCTTAATAGGATTCTGCTGTCTCACTGCTTCAGCTAACGGTTCCATACACATAATAAAAATGAGCCCAGAGAGCGGGTCTCCCTGTCTAGTCGTTAAACAGAGACAATATTCTGATGAGGCGTTTTATCGGTCTGTTTTTCCTTCATGTAGTTTTCACTTTTGATTTAATATTTTTATTTCATTTTGTCTTTTATCCTTCTGTTAAACTCTGGAGCTGTTTTTATTATTACACACACACACACACACACACACACATATATATACATATAAATCTTTTTATTCTTTATTAACATTAAAATAATCAGTCACTTTACTGTGGTGTGACTGCGCCCTCTGCTGGCTGAATTGGAGCAGAGCATCTGCCCACATCTATCTCTGTTAATACGATGTGTGTGTGTGTGTGTGTGTGTGTGTAGGACCTGGTAAAGAGTCACCTGATGCTGGCGGTCAGAGAGGAGGTGGAGCTTCTGAGGGAGCAAATCAGAGAGCTGCAAGACAGGAACCAACAACTGGAGAGGGAGAACCACATCCTGAGAACACTCACACACAATATACACAACACATAACATACACCGCATCATGACAACACTCACACACAATATACACAACACATAACATACACCACATCCTGATACTGTTTTTAACAGGATTATAATCAGACTAATGAGGAGCCTGGTAACAATGACAACAGGACTATTTGATGTTGATGATGATGATGATGATGATGACGATGATGACGATGATGATAGAGAACAAATTCTAATAAAATAATTATGTCTAACTACACAACGGACTGATAATGATAATGTTTAATGAGGACTACCAGTTGTAACACCAGTTTAAACCAGTTTATATTGGTCGGTTTAAATCAGTTAAAACCAGTTTGAATTGGTAAGTTTAAACCAGTTTAAACCAGTTCATATTTGTCGGTTAAAACCAGATTAAACAAGTTTACACTGGTCAGTTTAAACCACTTTAAACCATTGTAAACTAGTGTAAATTGATAAGTTAAAACCAGTTCATATTGGTCAGTTCAAACATGTTTAAACCAGTTTATATTGGTCTGTACCAGTTTTAACCATTTTATACTGGTCAGTTTAAACCAGTTAAAACCAGTTTATATTGGTCAATTTAAACCAGTTTATATTGGTCAGTTTAAGCCAGTTTAAATCAGCTCATATTGGTCAGGTTAATCCAGTTCAAACCAGTGTACACTGGTCAGTTTAAACCAGTTTACATTGGTCAGTTTAAATCAGTTTATATTGGTCTGTACCAGTTTTCACCAGTTTAAACCAGTTTTTCATTGGTCAGTTTGAACCAATTTAAACCAGTATATACTGGTTAGCTGAAACCAGTTTAACCTAGTTTATATTGATAAGTTTATACCAGTTCATATTGATCAGTTCAAACATGTTTAAACCAGTTTATATTGGTCTGTACGAGCTTTAACCAGTTTATATTGGTCAGTTTAAACCGGTTTATATTGGACAGTTTTAACCAGTTTAAACCAGTTTATATTGGTCTGTACGAGCTTTAACCAGTTTATATTGGTCAGTTTAAACCGGTTTATATTGGTCAGTTTTAACCAGTTTAAACCTGTTTATATTGGTCTGTATCAGTTTAAACCAGTTTATATTGGTCTGTACCAGTTTAAACCTGTTTATATTGGTCTGTACGAGCTTTAACCAGTTTATATTGGTCAGTTTAAACCGGTTTATATTGGTCAGTTTTAACCAGTTTAAACCTGTTTATATTGGTCTGTACCAGTTTAAACCTGTTTATATTGGTCTGTACCAGTTTAAACCTGTTTATATTGGTCTGTACGAGCTTTAACCAGTTTATATTGGTCAGTTTAAACCGGTTTATATTGGTCAGTTTTAACCAGTTTAAACCTGTTTATATTGGTCTGTACCAGTTTAAACCTGTTTATATTGGTCTGTACCAGTTTAAACCTGTTTTTATTGGGCAGTTTAAACCAATTAAACCAGTATACATTGTTTAGTTAAAACTAGTTTAAATCAGTTTAGTTTGGTCAGTTTAAACCAGTTTTAACCAGTTTCTTTGGTCAGTTTAAACCAGTTTTAACCAGTTTCTTTTGGTCTGTTTAAACCAGTTTAAACCAGTTTATATTGGTCTGTACCAATTTAAACCAGTTTATATTGGTCAGTTTAAACCAGTTTAAACTAGTTCATATTGGTCAGGTTAAACCAATTTAAACCAGTAAATATTGGTCAGTTTAAACCAGTTTATAATGGTCTGTACCCATTTAAATCAGTTTATATTGGTCAGTTTAAACCAGTAAATATTGGTCAGTTTAAACCAGTTTATAATGGTCTGTACCCATTTAAATCAGTTTATATTGGTCAGTTTAAACCAGTTTATATTGGTCAGTTTAAACCAGTTTATAATGGTCTGTACCAATTTAAATCAGTTTATATTGGTCAGTTTAAACCAGTTTATATTGGTCAGTTTAAATCAGTTTATATTGGTCAGTTTAAACCAGTTTATATTTGTCAGTTTAAACCGGTTTATATTGGTCAGTTTAAATCAGTTTATATTGGTCAGTTTAAACCGGTTTATATTGGTCAGTTTAAACCAGTTTATATTGGTCAGTTTAAACCGGTTTATATTGGTCAGTTTAAATCTGTTCTCACTTTCCTCATCAGGTCATTTTTTTCTCACTCCTTCAGACTGTTTCTTCTTTCTGTTACCTCAAACATTTACCTGTAATCTCAAACATTTACCTGTAGTCTCAAACATTTACCTGTAATCTCAAACATTTACCTGTTACCTGAACCTGATGATGGTGATGGACACTTCCTGGACACGTTTGACGTCCTTTGTGGAGCTCTGACCTGTGATGTCTTTGTCTTCAGCAGTGAAACACTGAGTTGAGCCTGACTGTCTCCTCTGTGTCCTCCATCCTGTTACTGTACTGTAATGAGAGTACGGTTACTTTAAATATGGTTACTATAGTTAGAGTACTGTTACTTTCAACGCAGTAACTACAGTTAGAGTACTGTTACTTTCAACGCAGTAACTACAGTTAGAGTACTGTTACTTGAAATACAGTTACTACAGTTAGAGTAATGTTACTGTAAATACAGTTACTAAAGTTACAGTACTGTTACTTCAATTACAGTAACTGTAGTTAGAGTACTGTTACTTTAAATACAGCTACTACAGTTAGAGTAATGTTACTTTCAATGCAGTAACTACAGTTAAAGTACTGTTACTTTAAATACAGTTACTAACGTTAGAGTAATGTTACTGTAAATACAGTTACTAAAGTTAGAGTACTGTTACTTTTAATACAGTTACTAATGTTAGAGTAATGTTACTGCAAATATAGTTACTAAAGTTACAGTATACTTAATTCAATTACAGTTACTACAGTTAGAGTACTGTTACTTTAAATACAGTTACTACAGTTAAAGTACTGTTACTTTAAATACAGTTACTACAATTAGGGTACTGTTACTTTAATTACAATAACTACAGTTAGAGTAATCTTACTTTAAATACAGTTAGAGTACTGTTACTTTAAATACAGTTACTAAAATTAGAGTACTGTTACTTTAATTACGGTTACTGCAGTTAGAGTACTGTTACTTTAAATACAGTAACTACAGTTAGAATACTGTTACTTGAAATACAGTTATTACAGTTAGAGTACTGTTACTTTAAATACAGTTACTAGAATTAGAGTACTGTTACTTTAATTACGGTTACTGCAGTTAGAGTACTGTTACTTTAAATACAGTAACTACAGTTAGAATACTGTTACTTGAAATACAGTTATTACAGTTAGAGTACTGTTACTTTAAATACAGTTACTAATGTTAGAGTACTGTTACTTTAAATACAGTTACTACAGTTAGAGTACTGTTACTTTCAATGCAGTAACTACAGTTAGAGTACTGTTACTTTCATTGCAGTAACTACAGTTACAGTACTGTTACTTGAAATACAGTTACTACAGTTAGAGTACTGTTACTTGAAATACTGTTACTACAGTTAGAGTACTGTTACTTTCAATACAGTTACTAACGTTAGAGTACTGTTACTGTAAATAGTTACTAAAGTTACAGTACCGTTACTTCAATTACAGGTGATACAGTTAGAGTAATGTTACTTTAAAAACAGTCACTACAGTTAAGGTATTGTTACTTTAAATACAGTTACTACAGTTAGAGTACTGTTACTTTAAATGCAGTTACTGAAGTTACAGTACTGTTACTGTAAATACAGTTACTAAAGTTACAGTACTGTTACTTCAATTACAGTTACTACAGTTAGAGTACTGTTACTTTAAATACAGTTACTACAGTTAGAGTAATCTTACTTTAAATTCAATTACTACAGTTAGAATAGTCTTCCTTCAATTACAGTTACTACAGTTACAGTACTGTTACATCAATTACAGTTACTACAGTTAGAGTACTGTTACGTCAATTACAGTTACTACAGATAAAGTACTGTTACTTTAATTACAGTTACTATATTTAGAGTACTGTTACTTTAAGTACAGTTACTACAGTTGGAGTACTGTTACTTTAATTACAGTTACCACAGTGAGAGTACTGTTACTTCAAATCCAGTTACTACAGTTATTGTACTGTTACTTTAATTACAGTTACTAAATTTAGAGTACTGTTACTTTAAATACAGTTACAACAGTTGGAGTTAGAGTACAGTTGCACTATAGCTTGAGTAGTTATTTCCTCAGCCTTCTGTCCCAAGTGTCGTACTGTAAATAATCTCAGAGATGACATCACATCACATCAGATGATGTAGATCATGACCCTGTCTGACATCACTGTGACATCACATGACCTCTTGTCCTGAGGAGAGGAAACAGTTTCACCCACAGAGGAAGAGGAAGAGGGAGAGGAAGAGAGTATTGTTTGACTGTGAAATGAAAAACATGTTTTGAGCTCAAAGAAGAAGGAGAAGAAGAATGAGGCTGTCGCTCACAGTGTCGAGCTGAACTCATCAGGTCTGTGTATTTATTTACATGTTTATTATCAGTCTGTGTTTATTGACACGTTTTAATCTTTGTTTTAACATTAATACACACGTGCACACACACACACACACACACACACACACACGTCCTGGATGTAAACAAAGTGTTTAACTGAGTGCTGTTTGTGTTGTTTACATGCTGCTCTCTGATTGGCTGTCAGACATCAAACATGTTGAAGGATCAGTGGAACCTCTGAACCCCCCATCTGTCTGTCTGTCTGTCTGTCTGTTTATATGTCTAAACATATATCTATGTGTGTGTGTGTACATACTGTACAGTATAAATATGCCTATATCTATCTATCTATACATTTATACAGTACAGGCCAAAAGTTTGGACACACCTTCTCATTCAATGCGTTTTCTTTATTTTCATGACTATTTACATTGTAGATTCTCACTGAAGGCATCAAAACTATGAATGAACACATGTGGAGTTATGTACTTAACAAAAAAAGGTGAAATAACTGAAAACATGTTTTATATTCTAGTTTCTTCAAAATAGCCACCCTTTGCTCTGATTACTGCTTTGCACACTCTTGGCATTCTCTCCATGAGCTTCAAGAGGTAGTCACCTGAAATGGTTT